TGGAATAATAGAATCCGCCTGGTGACGCAACACAAAGCAGTTTGTGAATTCTCTTAGGAAGTGCCAGCTGCATTTATTTAACTTCTTGCTGCCTCCTTGAACTAATATTCCTTTTATCTTAAGTTTGGCCTCTAAACTTTATTAACATCAAAAAGATTTTGTTAAGTAATTTAACTGAACATGGCACTGTACAAAGAAACTTACACAAACCAGATTCTTGTTACTTAGGAAGCTAAAAGCACAGACATGAGACCAATATTTATAGGATTTCTGTGCTTTATACAAATGCAGGCTGTCCTTTGATTTATTTTGTGTGATAAATAACAGCTATTGAGCTGAGTGCGGTGAGGCTGAGGTGGGAGAATCCTTTGAGGCCATGAGTTCAAGACCAGTCTGGCAACACAAGAACACCCACTTCACACAAATCAAAACAACAGTCATTATTTAATGAGCCCTTCGTGTCAGGAACTGTGTGGAAAAAACCAATATACATCATGTTCATTAAGCCTCCCTATAATGAGGTAGATGAGGCACTGGCAAGATAAGGAAACTGAGGTCAAATTCTTCAGCTCTGTCTCCAGGAACCTTTTCTTAGCCTCCCTGGCCCCTGCTTTCCCACAGACCTGTCGCTCACTCACAGCCAAAGTACCAGCTCCGCTTTTGGAGGAGCAAACACTTGCAGCAGAGCAGAGACTAGGACAGGCATGATGTAGTGATTGTAAAGTTCCTTAAAAACTGAACTTCTTCAGGAGCTAGACAGAACTGGTTTAAGTGCAGTTAAGAATAGGGCATCTAGGAGTGGTGGTGCATACCTGTAAACACAGTACTCTAGGAGGCTGAGGCAGGAGGATCACAAGTTTGAGTCTCACCTGTGCAATTGAGAACCTGTATCAAAACAGAAATAAAAATGAAAAGGGCTAGGGATGTAGCTTGGTGTAAAGACTCCAGCTCACCCCTCACAGCATTTTCTGTCACACCCCTCCTCCCAACTGCTTTAGTCTTCAAGTTTCCAACTGCAAGCTCCTGAAAAAGGACCCTGTTGGACAGCATGTTTTTCAAGCCTGGTCATACATGTCATAAGTGACTTTCAGCTGCGATGGGTCACGCTGGAGCAAGCACATAGATGTGGACCGAACATCAGTGACCAGATGGACTAGCACTTTCCTTCAGCTATTTGCTATTCTCTACTTCCTGTTTCCCATAGCTATTAGCTATTCTTTAGCTGTTGTACACTTTGTGAAGTTTAAAACACTTCTCTTGGGATTCGTGCTACCCTATTCTTGGATTTGAAGTGTTCTGATTGCTCCTTCATGCTTCATGTCCTCCTTCCAATGCTCCTGGCTCTTTCTATACTTTTTTCTTATAGAAAATCATAAGCTTCCACAGAATTAGATACATCAGATGTCATGATTTCCTAACTTGGGCTTCCTGGATTTCCTCATGCTCCACTCTAAAGACACTTGTGGAATGAATTTAAAGAGTTCATGAACTTAAATGAGGAAAAAAATTTTATATTTTCACTAAATGCTAACCAAAATTTACCAATTCCTTCAATTATGGATGCAATAAACCTCTGCAATAATAACATAACTGTTATGGCTTGTGTCCAGATGTCCCCGAAAGCCTCATGCTGTCATAGGTGGGGCTTTTTCAGAAGTGGCTGGATCTAGAGTTCGTGATGCTGAGATTAAGGTTGTGTGATTACTGAGTCAGTTTATTGATTGGCTTAGCATAGTTCTGGGTGTGAGTCCTACCTGCCCTAAGGCTGCAAGGTGCCATAGCCTAGGTAGAATATAAAAGGAATAGAAAGAAGCTATTGTCACTTGCTTGCTTTGCTACCTTCTGCCTACCATGAACTGTTTCCCCTCTGTGATGCCCCTCTGTCATGTGCCACTCTGCCTTGGAGCCACCTAATTATAGACTGAAACCTCTACAAACTGTGAGCTAAATGAACCTTTCCTGTAAATATGGGTGTCAGGTATTTTGTCTCAGTAGCCAGGAAAAGTAACCAAGATAATAACTTTATTACCAATAGCAATCATAGGTATTTTCATGTTTTCAAATTGTTACAGGTATAGTGTCTAAAAATTTATCTTTTCCCATTCAAAATCATGGTGGCTATTTGATCTACCACTGGACCTTTATATCTCATGCCTTAAAAAGATGCACATACAGCTCGGTGGCTGAGGCAGAGGAGCCGAACTTTGGCAACTTAGTGAGTTAGGGAGACCCTGTCTTAAAATAAAACATAAAAACACCTGGGGATGTAGCTCAGTGCAAAGGCTCTGGGTTCAGTGCCCAGTACCTCTGCCCAAGCAAACCATATAACCATATCAAAACTGTGCTCAATATTTTGAAAACTGCTTTGTAATACAATGTACAATGTCGTCTTTGTAATTTTGAGTCTTTTAGCTTCTAAAGCAGCACTGGAAATATTTTTTGGAGAAAGAGCCCATAGACTTCATCAGGTTGGTAAACCTTCCTCCCATGCCACAAAAAACAGTTGAGGGAGTGATCAACCCTACTTGAAAACAGTTTTGCTAGGTGGTCTATCGCAGCTTATAAAGGGGGTCCAGTCCTAGGCAACACAGCAGGAACTTTTCTAAAGCCTAATGACTCACTCGATTTTCTAAGGCTTGCCGTTACGTTTCAGCTGCCTTCTCTATTTGCAGACTTTACCTGTCAGACTGTTATCAAATCCTCTCTGTGGTGAGACATCCAGGTGCTGGTCTCCGACTTCTAGTTTATATCCCAGATTACTTTCAACTTTCAATTACTCTGTCAATGGTTTGGTCAACTCTTGGTCCTAGCTCCATGCTTGCCTGGCTGGGTTCCTGGACTGTGAACACGCTTTGTCCTGCACAAAAGGTCTATGGATTAGCTTTTCATTCAGGATAGAAAAATAGAGCTGAGTATAGCCCTTGGAATACTCACAAATTAAGTAAAAAGTTTTCGCCTGTGGTACTTTTGTTTGGCCAAAACAAACTCCATTTGTGGTGGCTTAAGCAAGACAAGGAATTTGTGATATGGATAAAAGGATGTTACACAGCACACAAGAGGTTTAACATATGGGGACATGTTAAACCAGGAACAGGGATTGGCAAAGCTTTTCTGTAAAGGGCCAGACAATAGAAGCTTTAGGTTATGGTTTGAGGACCCTCTAGATTAAAGCAGTGCCAGAGCTCTCTCTCTGAAACTTATCCCTTCACCTTCCACACATCTGCTTTATTGTCCTCTTCCTGCTGACTAGCTTCTTTAGCTTCTTTCCCTCTCATGTAGGTACATGGCTTGCACTATGGCTGAGGTCTTAAATGTCACCCAAGGGCTCATATTTTGAAGGCTTGTTGGTTAGCCTGTGGCACTGCTGGGATGTGGTGAAACTTTAAAGAGGTAAGGTCTAATGGAAGAAATTTTGGTCATAGGAGTGTGCCCTTCAAGGTGACACTGGGGGTCCTGGCCCCTCTTCTCTTCCTCTTTTTGCTTCCTGACTGCCATGAGATAAGCAGCCTCTTCCACCATGTTTCCGAGATGCTGCGCCATGGGCACCAAATGGGGGAGCCAATCAACCATGAGCTGAAATAAACTCTCCTTCTTTTCCACTGTTTATCTCAGATATTTGTCACAGTGACAGAAAGCTGACACAGCTTCTGAAAGCTCTGAGCTTGTGTCACAAATCCAAGGTCTTTCCTGGTCTCAATTCCAAACCCTTGGGCAAGGGATGTGGCCTGGCCTTGTGTGACTCAGGTGGAACCCCAGCCAATCAGCTACGGCCAGGGGGCTGATCCAGTTGTGTGAGCTGAGATTTGGGGACACCACTCCTACCACTCTAGGACCAGAGAAGAGAAACAGCCCCCAGGAGATGGAGGGCTGGGCAGACGAGCCAGCCAGTCTTGTGTTGTATCCATTCAAATCGCTGCAGTACTGTCCCTTGCCAGCCCCTCGTATCCCTTGCTGAAGCAATACCAGCCCTCACACACTCTGAAGACCACCTGCACCACCTGTCAGTGGACACTGCTCATCCTTAAAGTCCCTTCTGTGAAAGGTCAGCTTTTCTCTCTCTTTTATAGCTGAACAACATTCTATTAGCAGTTTGTCTTGTTCTGTCACTATTTTTATACCTGTCTTTTTGCTTTGCAGACAATGAGTGTGCTGACTGAGAGGACTTACTCAACTTTCTATCCACTCGAGAATCTGCTAGGCTCTGAGTTCAAATCTGTTGTTTATATCCTCACAGCTAAATGATTCCATACTGAAGGAAATGCTGACTTCAATAAAGGCTTGCATTTATATGGGAAATGTCTATTTTTATGAAAATTATCTTAATGTTATAAGCATTCATTTCCACACTTTTGGTAGCAAAATTAAAGTATATTTAAAGAACATTACAGAAAAAGTTATATATTTTGAACATTAAAAATAAGACATATTCTATTATTGTAGTAAATTAAAAAGGAATTCCACAGAATCTTAAGATAAGCAAGAGACTTGAAATATTCAAAATCATTTTTAAAAATTCTCTAAAATGATTAGTTTTTATGCAAGAAATTTACCAAAGAGCCAGCGACCTTATCTAATTTCTTTCTTTCTAGGATTATTAATTAACATCCTTCTCCTGCTAAACTCCCCTGCTAAAAGGAAGAAAGTAAATACAGTACGGCAGGGAAAACTAGTTCATTTCCACCAAACTGTGAGCGGCTGGAGTTCCGTCGGGGACCAGGCACTAGCGAGAGAACTGTTCCTAAACCATCAGCATCTGCGTGAAAGCTTTCCATTCAGCAGCATCCTCCGGGGCCCCTGCGCTGGAATGTGCAGTTTTGGAAAAGGCAGGTTTGGCTCCAGGGTGACTATCAGGTGCCTGCAGGCCCAGCCTTTGTGCAGGGGACGGGGTGGGGCGGGTGGGGTCCTTTCGCTTGGAATTTATTTTTCCTACTACAATTACAGTTCTGCTAAGAAAAATAAAATCTTGGTTGTGCCCTCATCTGGGTCTCTATAATTTTCAGCGTCTGCAGAAAAAAGGAAACTTCTCATTTACCCCCAAAGAATCGCCTTTGTCCGGTCTCCAGGGGCGCCCAGCCCTAGCCCTCGGCGGAGCCCAGTCCCCGCCTCCCCGCCGGTCCACGGGGCCCCGAAACCGCGGGGGTCGGCGCCTTCGGCGGGGACGCTGCGGACCAGGGATGGGACTCGAGCCAGGCTCTCCACCTGGCCCGGTCGCTGCCTGCGTCGCGGGGTGCTCGCCCCCTGCCAGTCCACAGAGCCCGTCCAGCCCGACTACCCGGGGTCCTGGCTCCCTCAGAGCCCACACCCGACCGCGGCCCGCGCGGACGGGGAGAGCCGCCGGTAGCCCCGCCCCTCCCCGCCCCCTGGCTGCACTGCGAGGGACCGGACTACAACTCCCGTCGGGCCCCGCAGCTCCCCTCCTCCGCGGACCGGCGGGAGGAGCCGACCACGGTCAGGGAACCCGCGTACAGTCCGTCGGCGCTGCGAGGATGGGCGTCCGCGTGTTCGTCGCCTCGTCCTCGGGCTCCGTGGCGGTGAGCAGGGCGGGGTCCTGCGGGACTGGCCGTGCGGGGCGGGGTCCTGCGGGGCGGGGTCCGCTCCCGGCAGGTGGGCTGGGCGACCTGTCACTCCGGGACCACCTTGACCCGGGTGGGGAGGAGGGTGGTCTGGAATCCCGGAGAGTCGGGAAGACGGGAGGGCAGCCCCGCTCCTGCGGCGAGGCTCGGGCGCCGGGGAGGAGCAGCAGGGGCGTCGTCTGGGTCTTCCCGGTTTGTGCAGGAGCCTGGGGGCTCCTTGGGTTTGCTACCCTGGCTCCCGGATGTGACAAGTTCAGATGCAAACTGCTACCCACCCTTTCTTCCCAGCCACCAACAACATTTCTTTAGTTTTACACCTGAGCGCTGAGCACCGTACAGCCAGGTTTGTCTTGTTCGGCAAGGGATGTTTGTTTAGTCACTTTTTTGCTTAGGGCGCTATAAATATTTTACATCTGCATGCATGCCCAAGTGTCCCATGGTGTGGTAAATTGCATCTTAGGAACCTAGGAATTGTGGTCTCTAATTATTTTTAGCTGTTCTGTTTGGTAGATGTTGAATTTTTTAGGCAGTTGGTTCTGTTTTTTTAGTAAGTTGAATAGGCAGAGATGTCAGATTTTAAGGAAAAATTCAGTAGTATACTTGATAGCCCGCTGTGAGAGCCAAGTAGCATGTGTTTCACATGGTTATTGTAACTTGATTTCCTTAGCCAAGAGATAAACTATAGATTCAAGAAGCTTCTTGATGTGTAATCAGATACATCCAAAAGTGCCATATTAATTGTTTGAAGTTTGGGCTGTCCAATTAATTGACTGCCCAGTTAGTTTAGCTAGATTGTCCCACAAGTGAGTGGGGCGCAGGATGGAATAGAATATTGTTTGAAAATCCTTATATAGTAAAAGGTCTCCCCACCCCATATTGCACTGGAACAATAGGTGTGGGAAACTCCAACTTATCCTTATATGCAGCCATGTCCTTCTTCTCAAACTCCTGACAATTCCTGTGTTTCTAATTATTTGTGCTTGCTTAGTCATACCTGTCTTTTGTAGATTTTCCCATTGAGGCTGCACTTCATGTGTTCAGAAACCTGTAATGTTTCACGGATAAATTCATTCAGATGCACTCCTTACTAAGAATCCTTCAAAGCTTTTGATTTCACCATGAACTTGTCTCTTACGTAGTTTTGCCACTAGTATTTTATTGGTTGCAGAAGGGATGCTTTATAGTAATAAGCCTACACTATCGTGGGTGAGTCAGAGTCAAGTCAAAGTTATTTCTTGGCTTATCCTGTCAGTAGGTAGTATGTCAAGATTGTTCTGGAACCCTGCATCCGTATTTCATCAACCCATTAACAAATAAGTATTGCATGCCCGCTCTGTGCCTTTTTAATTTTTAAACTTAATATTAAGTTTTTCACATGGAATTAAAATTGAGAAACTGAAGTTTTAGTGTGGATGCTGACTAGGGATGTAAGTTTGGATTAGGTGTTCGTCTCTGCCCAAGTTTCGCACCTGTAAAATGAAAGATTTTGATGAGTAACTCAGAATTGCACTGTAGCTTTAAAATGCCTTGTCAATTCAGAAAACGTGGGTGAGACCTCTTAAGAGTTCCTGTTGTTTGAACAATGTGCTTATTAGCTTCAAAGTGAATTCATTGTTTTCATTGAGTGCTTTATTGTGATGTCTCAGGTCCCCTCACTACACTGTCTGGTAGCTGTCTTCTGATGTGGTTTCATTTCAGCTGGAAGACACTCAGTTACCACATACTTACAGCCCCAAACAGTTAATTATCTATTTCTGCTCTTTAAAGGCCCAGTCTTCTAAAAACAGTCCTCATTCACTGAATCTCCCTGATTGTAGAATTATCCCTACATCAGTACACAGTTTTCCAATAATATCAAAATCACTTTTGCTGATGTAATGCTTTACTCACGTGCAAGAATAATGATGGCTGGAGGTGTAGCTCAATGATAGAGTGCTTGCCTAGTGTGCATGAGGCCCTGGGTTCAATCCCTGACAACCCCCCAAAAAGAAAAAAAGATTTCTTAAAACTAATGAAGATGGTTAGGTCATCTCTTACAGCGTTAAGCAGTATAATGCTTTTATGGGACAGCTATGTTTTTCCTCCAGCAGCGATGGGGTTGACCATTGGCACTTGATCAGCTCCAGCAGGGGAGAACACATAATTCGATTTCTAAGTCAGTTTGGTTTTAGTAGAAATTTATTAAGCCACAAGAATGGAATGTGTCTAGAGTTAGACTTAGTTAAGTCCCAGGGATTCCCAAAAGATGCTCTGTTCTAGTCAGCAATACATTTAAACAAAATTACTTTTTTTTTCTTTACTTATAATATTAGGGATTAAACCCAGGCCCTTCTCACTGAACTACATGCCCATCTTTTTTTATTTCTTATTTTGAGACGGGGTCTCTAGAGTTGCTAAATTGCCAGATTGGGTTCAAATTTATGGTTCTCCTGCCTCAGTCTCTGTGAGTCCTGGGATACCAGGGGTGTGCCACCGCACCCAGCTCATTTAAACAAAATGTTTAAAGGAAATGGTCCTGCCTTGTTCTGATTCCCCCCAACTCTGAAGCTTCAGCAATTAGAATAACCAGCATGGAGCCATGATTGAACTTTCATTCTGCCTAGCCCTGGGTGAAGTCCATCTTTAGTAGGAAAAAAAGTGATGCTGCATTATTGAGGCATGGACAACAGAAAATCAGACTTCTGCAACTGATTAATGCTGTTGTCATTCATGTTACAGTGAAGGCACATTTTATTTCTGAGAAGAATACATGCATAGAAATGTTATTTGAAAATGTAATTTATTCTGAATTAATTTATTCCCAAAAGGGGAGGCCTTCGTATCTTTGTCCAGGAAATATGTTAATATGACTTTTAATTTTAAAATTGAAATCACTCAATTGTTTCATTCATTTATTCACTGTAGTATCATCTAAGAGTGTCTGCACCTTGCTCAGCTCTTCTTGGTCTTCAGGGAACCAGTGGAGAATAGAGGGCGTGTCTCTGTTCTTGAGGAATTCCCAGACCCGATCGGGAGATAAGCAAGGACAGGTAGAACTAGCATAGTAAAGCACAGCCCAAGGACACATGCTTCTTTCCCGAACATTCTTACCAAAGATAGAAATGATATAGGTGGCAGACGGACGCATTGCAGGATGTCAGATAAGGAGGAAATATGCTAGAAATTGTGAAATATGCATGTGGGAGTCTGGGGCAGATGTCAGGGAGAGGAACTGAGTTAGATTTGGAGCCTGGGACAGAGTTCATAGTGCATCTTGCTCAGGTTGGAAATGAAGGAGGAGGTTTGGGTGTGAGAAGCAGGCTGCAGGGGACCCCGTGGGCCTCTTCTTAGGACAAGGTGGACTCTTACGTCCCTGGAGGAAGCCTGTGGTGCTCAGCATCTCAGCAGTGTTCCTGGTCTGCAGCTTGTTTGCTGCTTGGAGCATCTTGTCCTTCAGGGAATGAGGTCCTGTGTTGCAGGGAGGGTTCCCTGGTATGTGATATCAGAAGAATCTTTACCTTCCTATTTGCCTTGACTAAAATTTTACAAACAAAATGTTATACCTTTCATTAAATTTCCTAGACTTAGAGTTGGAAGGAAACCAGAAGATATTTTCTAGTGAAGCCCAACCAATGTTATATAGAAGGAAGTTTGGGGTCAGAGCTGAGATGGAATTGGAAGCCAGAGTCCTCGTTCCTTAATGCATTCATTAATGAGTCCATGCATTCATCAGTGCACTGATTCATTCCTGTGTTTGACAAAGAAGTGTTGGAAATTAAGTACCAGGCTCTCTGGTGATGTTAGGTACTAGGTGTCAGGCTGGCCAGGAAAGGGTTTAGACTGCCTAGTGGCTCTAATCAGTGTTGCCTCCTTTTGGCTCAGAGACTTAGCATGCAGCCAAAATCAAAGAAGCTGAAGGACTAACCCTGATGCGCAGGATATTTCTGTGAGCAGGGCAGGATGAGCTAGATAGCAGTATATCCCAGGATGTTGGGGAGCCACCATTAATGGGGGCAAAAGAGACAGAAATTGGAAGCAAAGTTGGAAAATATGTTTTGTCTATGGTTGTGGTATTGTTTTCAACTGAGGGTGGATATGAAGCACAGAAACTATGCTCATAGTTGTCTTGTTCCTTGCAGCTGTAAAATATATACTTAGTGCTGTGCATGATTATTTTAAACATGCAGTTACCAGTTAAGCTGTTGCGTCCCCCTAGATTGGATTCAGTGAAACTTCACTGTGTAAGGAAGCCTCAGAAAAGAGTTCCAAAGCAGTTCATATCAGGATGTGATTCTGCATAATGGGTAGTATTATTTCCTAAGTTAGTCTAATGTCATGAAGAGCGAGTGCAAGTATGCCTGGATTCTGTAGGATCTTCACTGTGGAAGGCGCGGAAGTTACTTACTGTGACCTTACAGATGAGGAGGCTGAAGAGACCTGGCTTGATAGAGATCCTGCTCAGTAGGTGGGAGGCCAGGAGTCACCGGAGCAGAAATTCTACTGTACCTCCCTGGGGGAACCGGAATGTCTGGATGGTTGCGGCCTGCTGTGAGCAGGCCCCACCCGCCCAGGGAGCGGTTCCACTCAGGGTCAGTGGTTCGGGAGTGCTGGGCCCTAGGAGAGGGGGAAGCATGGAACCAGGTTAGGCAGGGGGGCTGCACTTACCAGAGGTGATCAAGAGGAAGGAAGAAAGGGGAGTCCAAGGACAAGGATGTGTTGCAATGGAAAGGTAGAAAAGGCTTGGGTATTCCTTTCCCTCAACAAAGCAACAAAACCTGTGGTGCTTAAGCAGGACTTTTATCTCACCATCCTCTATGCTGGAAGCCTGAGAGAATGTTTTAGACCTCTCTCCTGACTCCTGGAAATTTGCTGACAACCTCTGGCATTCCTGAAGTGAATTGACTTATAGATGTATTGCCCGGGTGTCTGCCTTTATTTTACACGGCCTTCTCCCTGTGTGCATAAATGTGTCTCTCTGT